TCAAGTGACTAGTTGAATGTACAAATTTGATTAAATTGGTCCATTTTGAGGAATTGACCAGCACACGCTTGTGGAAAATGAAACCAAAATTCCATGTTGTGCAACATGCCGCCTATTAACTTGCCCAGGCCGAAATGTTTTTTTTTTGGCTTTCCCTGTCAAATAGTGACCAAAGACTAGGAATACAAAAATCATGTGTCTGACTTGTAAAACATAGTTATCATGATTAAATAATTTCTTAGAGATCCATGGAAGATAAAAACATATATATATTTGTATTTTATCATGCCTCTCGGTTTTACTTTGGACGTAGTTATGTGGGTAAAATATCTCAAATCCAATAATAAAGACCTACATCAGCTCAATTGTTAATCATAAAGTTTTAATATAGTGGGGATACAAAAAAAAGGACAAATTAACCATATGTAAGTCTCTTTGCATCATTAAAAGGAAAGAAAATGCGTTCATAAATATTTTTATTGCGTTACTAGTTCAATTTTAAGAATGTCCAAGTTTATTTTTAAATGGGGGCAGTGAGTGATTTTGGGTAGCCTTCCACTTATAGGGGCTCCCTCCACCTCATGTGAGGTTCATTTTCTTTTCTCTTGAGAAGTTTCTTTTTTCTCAAATATTTAGTATTGTTAGAGTTTTTCATCTATGAATATTTAAAAAAAAAAAAACTTCCCAAGGATGGTGTAAGGATGCGAGATTCGTGTGTTTCCATTCACTGGGCCGTCCCAGTCAATAACAATTGAGGCAAACGTCTTGGGCCGAAAGTATTTTACTATTGGGCTAATTAAACCTTTTTCAGCATCCATGCTCTTATACCCTAACCACCTTTGTAATACATTGGGCCAATTAATTCAATTTATACATTAGGTAATTTCAATAGTGGGAGTATTAGCAATTGAATGAACATTTTATTTTTCAATGCATGTAATCTTTGAGAATTATCAACCAAGTGCATCCATCTTTCAGCTCATGAACATCTATCATCTATAATGGTCCACACAAAACTTAAACATTTACTATCCTAAGATAAATAGACCAAACCGTTGATCCTGTTGCTAGAATCTAGATTCCACAAATACTGCAGGATGGAATAATACTACTAAATGCAAATTCCCATGTAACAACTCACATACTCATATAGCAGTTAGACTTCTACAATTTCATATTTAGAACCTTACCTAAAGGCTGATAGGTTCCAGGTGTTCTATGTGATGATGAGGAAGGACTAAATGGTTTAGGGGTAGATTCCTCTTGCAGTGCAGTTAAAGCAGCCCTTCTTCTCTGCCTATGTTCTCTGTGTCTCCTTATTTTGTCCTCTAATGCGGCTTTAGCATTCTCAGCTAACTCAGCTCTGCTTAGAGCCTGTTCTGCACGAGCCCTCAACACTGCAATTTTCGTTGATGCATTTTCCACTTCTTTTTTCATCAATGCTAACTCTGTCTGTCTTCCAACTTCCCCTACCCATCCTTGAAGTTGAATCCCATTTGTTTTCTCGACCAAGTATTTGTAGTCTTCCAAACAGATTGTGATGTGCTCATTGTTACTATTCTCACCATTTCTCTCTCCATTCTTGCAAGCCAACCTATGTTCCCGAAGCTGAGATTTCAGCAATGCAATCTCCACCTGTGCTTCAACATCACCCCCTTTATTCTTGTTTACCTCTGCTTTTGCCTTATGTAACTCGCTTGTCAGTGATCCAATGGTAGTATTCAAGCCATTTATTTCTTCCTTTGCACCCTTGAGTTCTTGTTTGAACTGCTTCAATTCCATTTCTAGTGTCTCAATGTAGACAGATTGATCTATGATCATTCTTTCCTTTAATTGGTTCGAGTCGTTTATGGCTTCGGGAACAGAATCCTCTGATGAAACAAGTGTTTCATTATTTTGCATAGGTTCCAATGGAAGACCATTTTGTAATCCCTCTAACATTTCTATATGCTTTCTCATATTTTCAAGCTGTTGCTGTACTTGATCATTGGCTTTTGTAGCTAACTCAATTTTCTCATCTTTCTCATACAATATAGCTAACTTCTCTTTCTCAGCTTTAATGGCAACAAGTTTTGACATATGAATAGATTCATTAAGTTCCTTCACTTGCTGTAGGAGTTTTTCTTTCTCTTCCTTTTCAATCTTCAAGGCAGTTTCCAATTGTTTCACATTTTGCAAAGCATTAAGTTCTGAATCTCTAGCACCAATAATTTCTGTTTCTTTGTTAAGAAGCTCCCTTTGTGTGGCCTTCAATTCACTTAAAACATGTGAAAGCTGGTCCCGGGCCTTTGCAGTTTCCAAGTTATGATTAGCCATCTCTTTAATCTTCGATTCAAGTTCATCTTTGTGAGCTTTGCACTCTAAACATTTATTCATATTCTTGTTTCTTTCAATGTCAGACTTCTTCAGCAAGGTTGACAATTCGTGAATCATTTTTTGGTTGTGTTCCAGCTTAAGAAGTGCTTGCATATGTGCTGCATGCTTTGCTTCTAATTGTACCTTGCAGTTGGCCAATTCCTTTGTCAACTCTTCAAACTCTCTTTCACAATCACCCTAGCCAACAAATAACACAAAAAGAATGATATAAAAATCATGAAGTCAGTTATTCAGATGTTGATCCGTTATGATCATGACGCTGATATTAATGGATCAAATCTGCACTAGTGAAAGAAGCTAAGTGCTGGAAACAAACTCTTTTGAGGAAATAGTCACTTTTTTTTCAAATAAAACTTGAAATACTTACAATTATTTCTTCAAAAAAAGTTAAACCAAAGATACACTAATAGTAAAACACTGTGATGTTAAGTGTATATCTTACTGTATTTGTACAGGAAATTAACTCATACTGCTTCAGCATCCGTATAAATTATGACTTGAAAGTTTATCACTTTGGGACTCTATTCCTTACTTATATTACCTTACTCCTAGTTGACTGATATTTCTTCTGATCACCTTTATCTCCAAACAAAGAGACAGCATTCCGAACCGGTTCAATTGATTTAGTGTCTATCTCACCACCCATGATTTTGCAAAAAGCAAAAGTATGTTCCACCACTGATATATATAATCTGGAACATTGAAAAAACAACACAAGAAGAAGTATGAAAATAGACACAAATGTTGCACATATGCCGTCAAACATGGTTAAGAGAGCAGCAAACGAAGAACTGCTCAACATAGTTAACAACTAGGGAATTAAATATGAACTCAAAACAATTTAATAGTATGTATATGTTTTATATGCAAATGGGTAAAGATCAGTTACATGTTTAGAAGTTGTACATAAGAAACATAAAAATAAATGTCGTGGAAATATCTAAGTTATGAGAGAAGATACCAGTAAATTGGGGGTTAAGAGGTAAGGTTGGAAGGAAAGTAGGGAGAACAAAGAAGAAAGAAGATGATGAAGACGACAATGATATGAAACTTGTCATGAAGGGAGTATATTTTGGAAGTTGTATTAATGGAATTTGCATTGCGGATAACACAATGTTATGAACTTGTCATGGAGTATGGTTGTCAAAGAATCATTCTTGTTTGGTCCTTCTATCTTAGGAATCATCAAGCGGAGGCAAAAAAAACCTTTGGTTGGCCCTCTGAATTTCAACATTTCCATGGAAATATTTTTATTTTATTTGTTTATTTATTCATTTTATCTTCATGTGGAATTGTCTATGGTATGGTGTATATGGGACAAAAATAATGAGAACCCCATGGAAGTAAGAGCAACACCCAAAGACCACCAATTTCTAGAGCTAAAAGTTTTGAAAAAGGATAACTTGACTCGTTTTTTTATCTATACATGACATAATAACTTAAATGATTTAAGGCCAGAACATACAAGGAAATATCATAATAAGTTCATTGTGAAGTCACAAGAATTTCATGCTATTATTTGTTTATCAATTAGTTGAATAACTAATTTGACCTCAAATACTACTAATTTAACAAAATTAGCTTAATGTATTTAAATTTTCAACTAAAAATTAAGCTTTAAACTTCCATTGTAGCATGAAACTTACTACTATACATGGATATCATGTTATTTTTAATAAGAAAATTTTATTAAAAATTATAATATTTAATATTATTTATATATTAAATTATGTGATATTTTCTTATTTTAATAAAAAAATCATACATAAATTTTTTAATCATATGCTTTTAGGTTAAGAAAATTGTAAATTATTTTTGTCAAACAAATCTCGTATAAAAATATATTTCTAAGTGAAATGATCTAAATATCCGTAATGACAAAATACTGAAAAAATAACATGATATGAGTCGTGATCTGTGCTTCTCACAGCTCAAGCAAACTTTAATAAAAAGAATCATTACCTATTATTTAATTATGGGTCTATTCAATTTGTGACTATGTTAGTCAAATAGGTCCAACCTATAATTTTACAAATCAATCCGTTTATGCGCATAAAATAAAAAGTAAAATAAAATTATCTAGCCATTTTTAAAATAAAAGAAAAAGTTATTTTAAATTACTCCACCAACCATTTTGGATCAGCCTGGCTTCAGGTCGTAAATAAACAGACTATTTTGTTAAAACATCTACGAGTCTTATAACAATTTTTCCTATCTTTTTTTTATGTTTTTCTTCTATCTAAATAAAGCATAAAAATTATTCAAACACAAATAAAATGAACTGATAATTCTTTAGAACATTTATACACAGACATATAAAAAAATCTTAATTTGCGATGCTATTAAAAATTTGTTCTCGGTAATGATTTTTTTGCATACAGAAGTTTGTGAAAACACTGGTTATTTGCTGATATCCTTTCATATTAGCTGGCTTGACATCATTGTTATTTTGTCATGTTTTATTGCACAGCGACCCTCACATCTCACATTAAGGAGTGATTGAATGTGAAACATCACCTTACAACAATTATAACAATAAATGCAAAGAAATTGCAATTGATTTAGATTACAATGCAAGCTAAGCTGCTAACCGTAACATATCACATTAAAGCAGTAGCCAAAACTAATATAAATTTTTAGGACAAAATTTTACTTAGGTGCTCTCCAACAAAGTAGAGGGAAAATGGATAAAACTATCACTAAACTGGGAAGCTTTTGGATCTCCAAGAAAGCCAAGGAAGAGATTTCCCACATAAGTGATGACCTATCAGTATGTCTCTCTGCCCTTTCTCTCAGTATGAAAATTTTCAGATCTTAAATTTCTTTTTATTTTTTTGAGTTATTTCTATTTAGGGTAAATGATTTAACCCTGTAAAAAAAATTATTTTAGAACTACAAGATTTGATACAATATATTTGCAACTCTTTCTGGGACTATCATACTCATTAACTTTTGAACTATATGAAAGCCATGATTTTCAAATTATGATGAAGAGAATAGGTTAGTTCGTACTTTCCTATGGGTATACTCTATTCAACTCCATTGTTTTTGTAATTAGTGTATACCTTATTGGTAGATATTCTTTACTTTTTGTATGACTTATCACACGAACTATATCTAGGAATCTTCAAAGAAAAGGGGGTAAAACACCAGAAAATGAAACATGAAAGTATGGAATAGAACCAGCCACATTTGAAAATAAATTCACAGTTAATTGGCGTCTGATCTTGTAGTGACTAATGATATGCGAATTAGAGATCTCTTATTTCAAAATTTTGTTCTTAGACACAAACATCAGAAAACTTGTTCCTAGACTTTGAAGAAAACAAATTGATCTTCATTATAAACAGAGAACCAAACTAGAGAATTTGTTGATCTAGGTAATATAGAAAAGTTGCAATTCAGAAGTGTGTCACTTAATCTTTTGTTCCTTCTGTTTATGTAAACTGATTTGATGCAAATGTAAAGTTTTTTAATATTTTGTGTACAATAATGCTTATACCGCGCTTGCAATTTCAGTCTTTCTCAAATACTGTTGAAGAGAAGGCAAAACTTTTGATCAACAAACTGAAAGGTACCAAGTATTTTCACAACATTTTGCACTCGCATTTCGAGTATGAACAAGTTATGACTTTCATGTCTGATCAATAATATCTTTGTTTCTTTAGTCTCACACTACCCAATAATATTTTGCATTTGATAAAAGTCTGGAGTTCTCTTTTCAATTTCATTTTCCACCAAATGAAAGAATTAGCCTACCTAATCTTTCAGCATTCTGGTGATGAGATGTTATCCCTCCAATTTACTCATTGTTTGGTTGCTTTCATTTGGTGGCATCATGGTTTTTAGAGTGAAAACTAGAAATTGCCATCTAATCTTATCTTCCTCTTTCTTTTTAAGACTTAATTCCATAATTTTAAATTTAATTAGTTTACTAACTGCACAAAAGTTAAAGAATAGAATATTTTTAAAAATAATTTTTTAAAATGACATATATCTATAATAAAAGACAGTTTTTTTTAAAAAAATTAAATAAGATTATTATAGGCAGTAAAACTTTTTTTTTAATTCACAAGAAAAAATTTTGCATCTCCTAATGGTCTTGCTTAATTTAAATAATTTTTGGTGAAAAAATATTTATGGTATAAAAAAATTAAAATAAAATATGTTGTTCTTAAATAAATTTATATTTCATTAAGTTATTTAAAAATTTTAATTTTTTGTATATTTAATACTTTGTTACATGAAAAAATAGTTGGATGCAATTTACCTAAGTTGAAAAGGAGTTGAAAATACAAATTAAGGTCCATTTGTTTCAACTTGATTTTAAAGATATGTAAAATATATTTTATTTTTAGATATTTTATGAAAAGTAATAGTTTTTTGTTTAATTATAATTATAAAAAATATTTTAAAAAGTAGTTATAACTTTAGCTTCTTCTTTTTTAAGCTATTCAAAATAATTTTTTAAATTTATATTTTTATAATCTTGACTGAATAATTTTTTTTAAAAAAAGTGTCTTTTATAAAAGAATCTTAAACAATCATCAGACTCTAACTCATTTACCTAAAATAAATCAAATTAGTATTAAAAAACCATTAGTACTGATTAATTATTCCTTAAAAATATAAAAATATTATTTTAATTTTAAAATTATCCAACGATAATTAATTTAGTTTCTAAAATTATAACAATAAAAACTAAAATAACCTATATTTAATAATTTTAAGAATTAAAATTACATTTTTATAATTTCAACAACTAAGTTAACTTATAATCTCATAAAGTAATTAGTATATTATTTTTTTTCATTTATCAAATTGCTCCATTTCTTTTTTTTAACAAGTTGGTTAATGAGGGTATATTTGTCCTTGAAAATATTATTTTTATTTCACTTAATTTTTTCACCAATCCAAATAATAATAATAATTTTCTTCTTTAATTTTATTCATCCAATCAACATCTAATTTATCTTCTACATCTCTTCTTTCTATTTCTTTTTGTTCTCTATTTCCTTCTTTTTATTTCTTTTTCAAATCTCTGCTTTTTTATGTCCTCATAGAAATTATTTTTCTCTACCCGGATGCACATATAATTTACTGGGTTTCCACAATAATAGTAAAAAATTGTCCTTAAAAGAAAATCAAGTTTTGGCTGAAAGGGTGGCAAAAAATGATAATGACTGATGAGAAATGTTAGAAATGATAGTAACAATCAGAGCAACATTTGACACTCTTCTGTAAGTTTGTTTTTTCGGTTGATTCTTAATTAATAGGTAAATCCCAGAAAGCCTTAACAGATCTCCTTAGAGAGCACAACCTTCCTCCCGGTTTGTTCCCCCGCAGCATAACATGCTACGAGTTTGATGAATCAAAAGGAAAGTTGGTGGTGTTCTTGTCCTCACCCTGTGAGGTTTGCTTCAAGGACTCATCCGTTGTGAGATATGCAAATCGTGTCAAAGGGACGTTGTCAAAGGGGAAGCTCACTGTCATAGATGGAATGAAGACTAAGGTTTTAGTGTGGGTCAAGGTCACCAGTGTTTTTGTTGAGACTTACAAATCTGATAAAGTATGGTTCACTACCACAGGTGTTAAGAAATCAAGACCCAAAGACGCTTATGAAATGCCACGTGAAGCAATTAAGGTAGAAGAATTTTGAGACACTTTATGTTGTACTTCAATTCACTCATTAAACATTCTTTTTTCTTGTAAATTTACATTTGACTTTGTGTGCTGTGATGTTTAGAATTTGAATGTTGTTAGGATGGTGATAAATATGTATGCACTAATTGTACTTAGCCAATTCTACTCTAATAATTACACTACTTTTTAAAGATTGTAGAAACGTGACTTTGTTTTACATATAAAAACAAGAAGAGTCCGTGAGATTAATAACCAGCACTGTATATACGTCTTTCTTAGCTTATTTTATAGAGTATTAACTAAGTTTTTAATTCTACGGAAATTTATAATTTTTATTTGATCTCTAATTTTTAAATTTTTCAAATGCTTTTTCTATTAATTAGTTTTCTTGTAATTTTATTTCTTATTTGTTCACTTTAAATATATATGAAAAAGTATTTTATCTTCTAAATATTATGAATTCTTCATCTGATCTGCATAAATAGTATGACTTTGTTATGTGATCAATTAAAATAAGAAACTACACGAAAAGTATATTTGCTTATTAGCTTTCAAATTTTAACAACTTCTTTTTTATCCTTTTTTTTTTGTTAAACTGATAATAATAATTTTTTTTCAAGAATTAAATGTTTCTCAACATTTGCTTAGTATGTAAACTAGTAATTTGTTCTGTGTATTATACAAGTATTATTAAGTTATTTAAAAATAAATAATTAAAAAATATTATATGACTTTTTAAATTTTGCACATTTTTAAAAACTAAATATTATAAATATATTTTTATATATAATTTGCATGTACAAATTCTTAAATGAAAATGTTTTTAAGAGCTTTATCAAAATATGATTACTTTTATAAGTTTGTTGTCTACCTTACATGGCAATTCTTTTATATTAATTTTTTAACTTAAAAATTAATTTAATTTTTTCATAATTTTTTAATTTTAAATATATCACTTTATTTAATATAATTGAATGCTTGTATTAGTAATTTTAATATTTTTTAATTTTATAAAATTTTAAAACTGTCATACAATATTTTTTATTATTTATTTAACAAATTATCATAATTTAATTTAATAATACATGTATAACGCATAAAAATTTACTAGTTAATAATAAATATTTTATTATATTAATAAAAATTTAAAATAAATACATAATAAAGAATGCATAAAAGTGTCGCTATTTAAAAATACTCTTAAAAAATTCCTCTAGAAATACTTTTATTTGAGGGAAATTATTTATAAAAGTTAATAAATGTACATTTAGAATAGCTTTTACTTTTATTGATAGTTGTATTGCTGTATATTTTCCACATGAAATGATGAAATAATCCAAGTTTCATTGGAAACATTTTATTTCTTCTACACAAAATTAGAAGAAAAAAAAAAGCACATTTTCTTAGTGTGCTGCAAGTCAGATGATAAAAATCTGTAATCATAGGTACTCTCAGAATTACCAACAAGATGATACATGAATATGCATTGGATATATATAAGTATCCAAATATTCAGCCTGTAGACTTTTTTTAATAATATTTTTATTTTATAATTTTTCTAAGATTTATAATATTAGTTAAAATAGAAAATTATAGTAATAAATGCTATGAGTTTTTATTACGTACAATATTATACATCTTAGAAAAATTATAAAATAAAAATATTATTAAAATAGAAAATTATAGTAATAAATGCTATGAGTTTTTATTACGTCCAATATTATACAGATTAAAAATTTATTTTATTAAATACATAATTATTATTTTTATTTTGAGAGACAAAAAAAATTATTTTTATTAGTTTGTGAATATTTTTTTTAGTACATAAACATATAACCATACACATATAATTTATTAATGTTAATATAATGTTAATTTATGGTATATAATGCAAAATATTTACTATAAATTTGAAACAGAGGCAGTTATTCCTAAATATTGACCCAGATACATATAATCACAGGCAATTGTTGAATTTGAAAAAAGGGAAGGAGAGAAATGGGCTTGGGCCCAGTAGCATTAGCGTTGATCTGACGCAGATGGATAAGATCGAACGGTGCAAAAAAGCGAAAGAAAGATCTGAGATGCGGAAATGAAAAACGAAACCCTAGCTGGATAGGTTCACTTTGGGGGCGAAGGAATATATTATATAGTCACTGATATATATTCATATCTCTCTCTCTCTCTCTCTCTCTCTCTTTCTCTTTCATTTCACTTCTCACTTCTCACTTCTCACTCGCTCTTCTCCGCCAACAACCTCCATCGCAACCATGTCGGACGAAGAGCACCATTTCGAATCCAAGGCCGACGCAGGAGCCTCCAAAACCTACCCTCAGCAAGCTGGTACCATTCGCAAGAACGGCTACATCGTTATCAAGGGCCGTCCCTGCAAGGTCAATTTCCCCCTTTTCATTTCTATTTAGGGTTTCTCTTTATAATTCTTTTATTTGGTTTCTCTTTTTTAGATCCACCCTCTTTATACCCTTTTTGACTTAATTAATTGATTATTCTTTGAAATCTGAGTTTGATTGCTGTGTCATGTTTTAATTGATTTGTCTATCGATTTGTTGTGGCTTTTAATCATTATGTTCTGAATTTTTGCCAACAGGTTGTTGAAGTTTCTACTTCTAAGACTGGGAAGCACGGACACGCTAAGTGCCACTTTGTTGGAATTGATATCTTCACCGCTAAGAAGCTTGAGGATATCGTGCCATCTTCTCACAACTGTGATGTATGCATGCTGCTTTTGTTTTTTTTTTTTTTTTCATTTGTTATTCTTTTTTTTGTGTTATTAATTGTTGTTGATTCATATGTGCCGTGTTTTTTTCTATGTTGTTGGGTTTTTTTTTTTTGTCAGGTTCCTCATGTGAATCGTACTGATTACCAGCTCATTGATATTTCTGAGGATGGATTTGTGAGTTGATGTTTCTGTTAATTGTAACCTTTGATTTGTCTATTATTGATGAGAATTGTTTATCTGTTTTGTTTTCATATTCTGAAATCTGAACTGTGTGTTTGCTGTGATATTGTTGTAGGTGAGTCTACTTACTGAGAATGGGAACACTAAGGATGACCTCAGGCTTCCAACTGATGATAGTCTGCTCACCCAGGTTTGTACAAATCTGATTTTTTGTATCCTTGTTGGATTGACAAGTATATTGGTGTTAGTCGTGTGATTGGATATGAATTATGGATTATGGATTCCTGTTTGCAGATAAAGGATGGATTTGCCGAGGGTAAGGATCTTGTTGTTTCTGTCATGTCTGCTATGGGTGAGGAACAGATTTGTGCCCTGAAGGATATTGGGCCGAAGAACTAGCTTCTGTTTCTGGCAGTTGGTTGTTTCCATTTAAGCAAAGATATTTTTGTAAGCTTTTATTTTATCGTTTTGTTTAAGACTTGGCTTATAGATTCTAGTCAGTCTAGTCTTACCAATGGTGTTTGTGGATGTGGTGACAGAAACTATATCACATTTTTATGTTTATCTCTGTTGTCCTGTGACTTTATTATAAAGGAGGAGTCTATTCTGGCAAGTTTCTTTTTTATTTTTGGTATAATGCGATATTTTTATTGACTGCAGTGGTGAAAACTTAACATGCTATTAGCAAATGACACAGTGATTACTAGACCTAAATGCATGTAAACCTCCTATTGGACGAAGAAGGGTGTATTGAACACAATTCGCACTGTCTTTGGGCGAGCAATTACAAAATTGATTTTGGATGATGTTTATGCAAAATATTTTTTGGTTGAAATTGAGTTTCAAGGTGAATTATATTTTTAAAAGTTTTTTGATATCTTCCTACAAGTTTGTTTTAATGATTTTTATTACTTAATAAACCAGTAATTGAAACAGTTTTTTTAATGTGTCTAAGGATATCTAATAGTAAGTTTTGGTTAAATTTTGTAAAATTTAATGTTATTAATGCTTTAAAATTTTAATTATTAGGAGGATGTGTAGGCAATTGCATAAAACGGGATTTGGAATTATTCATTTGATAAACTGCCATATCAAAGTTATTTTTTAGATGAATTTATAATGAAATTTTTATAGAAGTGATATATAACATATGTTAACAGAGTGCTTGAAAGAACATATTATTGACATTTTTTAATTTTAATCCATCATGTTATATTTGATCACTTTGACTTGAGGGTAAGCTTTATCTTGGTCGTAACAATCTTGACTTTTTTTTTACAAAATTAAGTTGTACTTTTTTTCTAAATTAACTAATTTGCTGGTAATTGTATGCATCTTATTAATGCTAACATGTGTGACCTCAGTAAGTTTTTTTTTTTTTTTTTAAATTATTTGCGATGTTAGCGGTGGTTGTTCCGTTCGCAATTTACACCCTTTGCACACTTCCAAGCCGATGTTCAATTTGAGTGTCAGCCAAGCTTACCTAGAACTGTGTTTGACAAAAATCACTTTCGGCTTTATTTCCATAGCTTAGAGTGAGAATTTTCACTTATTTATTTAAATGTATTTTATGGATATTCAAACTTAATTTCTACAGTTTAAAGATTAGTCTCATGATAATATATATATATATATATATATATATATATATATATATATATATATATATTAGATAAAAATAAAATAAAAGTATAATTGTGTTTTATTTTATATTTGATAATAAATTACATATATTATATTTCTTATTTTATTTATTTTAAAATTAAGTTTTGAGAAAAAAATTATACTAAAAAATAAAATAAATATATTTTATAAAATTATCGTGTTCTATTGATTAATAAATGTTAAAAATGGAATGGAATATAAGAAAATATCATATTTTATTCATCAAAGGACTTTTAAGTATTCTAATATAAATTTTACTATAAGTTTATTTTGAACCAAGATTAAGTTTGTAAAATTTGTTATCTAATTTTTTGTTTTGCGACGTTGTCATTCTGTATATTATAATAGTGATAGTTATATAGTTATATAGTTATAATGTAAACATAGTTTATCTTATAATATATTTAATTAAGTATTTAATCAATTAATTATTATCTTAAAAGAGACACTAATTTTTTACAACGAAAGTACGAAAATATGAAAACACATGAATTTGTAATTAACAAATGAAGTTTAACTAATTATGGAGAAAAAGAAAAAAAGTTTATATGCTTATAGGATTGCGCCGTGAAACTTTCAAGTACTAAAATTTCACAATTTCATTATCATTTTTATAAAGAAAATTATATTACAAATTCATCATAAAATTTATTAAATTATTTTTATTAAAAGTATATTATTTTAAAATTTTAAATAAGTTCTTTAAGAACACACCTCTTAGTATATATAAAAAATTGTATACGTAACAACAAAATTGATACACTAAGAGTATATTTGTCCTTTATTTGTTAACATTAGTTCAAATTTAATAATTTGTAATTGATTCAAAAGTTTATAATTTAAAATAAGCTGATTGAATTATAATTGTTTAGTAAAATTAGTCTTATAACTGATTAAAATGTATTAAATGATAAAAATAAATATTAAAGTTAATTTGTGTAAATTGTATAAAAAAATTAATTTGTGTAAATATAAATTATCTAAATAGTTAGAGATAAAAATAAAAGAAAAAATTAGTAGTTAATTTTCAATAAGTTCAATACTTTCCTGAAATAACTGTTCATAAATTAAAAATTCTATTTATTTCTTATTTATCAAATAAGCTTATTAGTTTATTGAAAAGATTCATACATATTACCAGTGATTCTATATTATAGCATTTCGCAAACAAGCACTAAATAAAAATAGTTTTGTAAACATCTTTGTGGGACACCCAAGAGGGAAGACACCTCATGATGTCCCTTTTTAAAACATAAATGTAATATATATAAAAAAAATAACTATAAATAGGTGTGATAGTGTATGAAAATATGGTGTAAATGTTTAAATAGTATTACAAATAATAGAAATGATAATATGTTTGTGTTTTTAGTGAAATGGAGTTTGATCGAAACAAAAAATTTCTTATTTTGTAAAAAATGCCTTTACTTCATGCTTAATCGAACAAGCAATAATTCTAAAGTGACACCAACTCTGCATGATAAGTGAAGCTGAGTTAATTCACGTACAATTTATTTAAATATACAGTTTAATCAAATATTTATTTAATAATTTTTTTATAATAATTAATATTTAAATTTAATCATAAAAATGATTAAATAAATTTAAAAAAGATAAGAATTATAAATTATTGTATAAGCTCCACCCAAACTCGCGAAAAGAATCCATATTCTACAAGAGAAGCATTGTAAAGCACAGGGTTAGCAAGAACAAAGAAACAAATTAGCGGAAAAGGATGCAAATGGACGATTAGCTTTAGCAAGAAAAGGAACTCATTTTTCAATTTTCATTTAATAAATTAAGTGTATACTGCTCATTTTTACAAGCAGAGGGATGAGCTCCTCGCCACATCGTTCTCACGGCAACGGCGATAACAGACCCAGATTTTTCGACTCAAAGACGAAAAGCATCTGTTGGGCGAAGGCTGATACTGTCGCCGGCCGTCATCCAGAGCGGTGGCGCAAAGACGCCGCCGGCAACATTGTCTGCAAACGTTTCTTCAACTGCCTCGGCTGCCTCTGCTACGAGTACGATCACATCATACCCTTCTCCAAAGGTTCCCTTTTTCTCTCCCCCTTTTCCCTTTTTCTTCCAATTTCCCCTTTCTTTTCTTCTCGGTATTAACGGTCATGTCTTGTAGGTGGTGAATCCACAGCAGATAATTGTCAAATACTTCAATCCAGAGTTAACAGATTCAAATCAGACAAATATGACATTGATTCGGATCAACTCAAAGGCTACTCTTGTGAAGTTAATTTTACTGGTATGGTTCGTTCTTTCTTTCTTTCTCTTTCTTTACATTGAACTTGCCCTTTCTGTTCAACTATTTTTCGGACTAAGTCTTTGTACTATTTAGTAACTGAAGATCACTATTTTTTAGGCGCAAATGTTATAGTCTTGTAGATAATAATATTATGATTTATTTAAATTTCATGCTTTTGCAAGTTATAGGTTGCATCATTGAAGAGCATCTGCAAAAAAAAATTATGTGTGTTTTCCTTTGTCAGATTGCATGGATTTACTAAATGCTTTACAAATTCATGCGCTCCAATTGCGGCTTTAGATGCTTTTACTTGCGTCCTTGAATGCCCTAGTTAGCTGCTCTACGTTTGTAAGAAATTGTGAAAATGTTCTTGGTTTCCATTTATGATCTGCTTGTGAATTTGATCATGGATAATGGATGGATGTTAATTTTTGGCCAGGAATGCTATATGTATAGCCAATATTTCATTCTAGTTGAAACCAGTAAGAACATTTTCAAGTTACTGTAAATAGCTGACCCTGATCACGAAGATCTTCAAAATTAGCTGGCTATATTTTTTAAGACGGATCTTAAGAAGATTTATTGGCATCCAGTCTTGCCAATGTTTATTCGGAGGGCTAGTTTGTTCACTGTGTCCAGTTAGAAGAGTTGTTGTTACACTTAGGATTTTGTTCTGCTTGATGCTGAAAAGGGATCCATTATTGACTTGTTTATTTAATTCATATATCTACTACGCAATTACTTTTAGGTACAGTGTTGTACAAGCAAGTTGCGTAATTCCCATATTTCTGCATAATTATGAGATCCGCCATGTTTATAATAGCATAATATTCTGGTTTTGATCAATTAGCAGATAAGGAGCTTGATATAATTGAGATGGCTGTTTACGGTGATGTGATCCGGCCAGGAAACCAGTGTCGTTGCAGAACTGTTGCTGAAAAGCTTGGCAAATTCAAGTCAAAAGATGACGCAGAGGCATGTAAGTTGCCATAGGAGGATGAATCTTTGCTGTAGCAAACAACTTTTCAGCACATGTATTGAAAAACGAAGCTCTCACCCACTCGCATCTTTTTAGGCAAAAATTAACAATTGTTTCACTATCATTTCGTCTTGTGTGACGATTGACATCTAGATGGGTTGTTTAGCATACTTGGAGGGTTTTGCTTTGTTTAAAGTGAACCCCTTTAGTAACTAAGAGGATAAAATAAAAATGAACAACTTATACTTCAATTAAGCACTTTCATATGTATAACTACAGATTTGTTAGAATCATTTTGTTATTTTCTTGAACTACTGAGGGGACTGGGTTGGTCTTGGTTTTTGAGTCTTACCCAGTAGGACCTCGATAAATTCTACTAGAAACTTCAATTTTCAATTGTTCTTTCGTGAAAGCTAAAAGTAATATAATTATGCTTTGCACTTCCCTATCTTCTATGAAGAAATGTGAGAGGCAAATCGTCGATAGAGATGTGAAGACCTACAATATAATGCTTGATGCAGATTTCCATGCCAAAGTTGGGGATTTTGGACTTGCAGAAGTGTATGAACATATTTCCAAAACTAAGGGGGTAGGCGGGGTGAACAATGTGTGCTAATGAAGAAATATAATTGATTGATGACTCGGAATTTTATCACTTTCTAAAAAAAGTTAGAACACTTCGTGTTATATTAAGAGGATGTGTCACAATACTAACTTGACAGTAGAAGTGCCAACATTTTCCTTTCAAAAACTATCTAACTTGGAAGTCAAACAAAATACAATCAAACACAATTGCAGGACAATATTTAAGCAAATTTATTTACTACAAAAAGAAGCAGCATTCCTATATGCAATATTAAACACAGTCAGCGGGATACTGCAAAAATGCCAACACATTGGTTCGATTAATAATAGCAGAAGATGCATGCTCCCATGCTATTGGATTAGATCTTGCAATAAAATTCAATTTCAGTACATGGGAGCAACATTGGAGTATTGCAATTCCCATAGAATAAACCGCATATAGGAGCGAACAAAGAGACACGAAAAGCAAAAGGAGAGTTCTTTAATTCTAAACTGAGAATAAAACTAGTCACTAAACACTTGTTGGAGGGTTGATTCTTTGTGGAAATGTTTTTGTTTTTCAATATGTATATATAGAACACTAGTTCTAATATTGTCACCGAGAATATGAACTTTAATCGCTAATAACAGAACTAACTATAAACAAATCCCAATACTAGAAGCATTCAGAGTGAGGTCATTTATAAATTTGAATGAGTTGATTGGTTTTGGTACAGTAATTAGGTAAGTTGCATCACTTTTAACACAATTCATTAATGAAAGATGTATGCAAGAACATACTATTAATCAACACAGAATTACCTGCTCATCGCTCAGTGATCCCCTTGGAGCACTTGCCACTTTCAGCGCTTCTTGCTGGTGAGGATTCTATTAACAATACTGTTCAAGAAACTGGAGTAGGATTCTTTACAAGATGGTAGTACTAATATTGATCCTATGAAGCCACAGAAACCCGTGTAGTGTCCTAGACCCATGCTCATATACAATCCTTCCAAAAATACTGAATTATCATCTCTCACGGTATTGATTGTTTATGATATTCTGTCGACTCTTCTTCTGGACATTTTATGACAAGTGGTTCTCCACAAAGATTAAAATTACCTTCCAAACTTGAAGCATTAAAGCTCTGCAGCTGTTTTCCAACTGAGATTTTTCCATAGAGGTGATTCATTTACAAATCCAGCATAGTGAGATGATCAATATGAGCCAAACTAAAAGGAATCATGCCAGAAAAATGATTTCTTGACAAATCAAGAAATTCTAGTGACTTTAAGTTTCCAACATTTGAAATGATTTCCCCACTAAGACTGTTCCTTGATAAATTTAGTGAAACCAATCCATATAAATACTGAATTTCAGTTGGCATTTCTCCTGTGAGATGGTTGCTTGAAAGATCAATGCTTTTTAGAAACACATCTGCATTTTTTAAGCCACGATCAATACTTTTCCACATCAAGAATAGGTACAAATCATAATAAGCATGATATGATTCATCTTCTTCTTTGTAAGTAATATACCAATGATGATCATCCTCATCCATTGATGGAGTTGAGCTTGTAGTGTCCTGAGCCATGGTAGTAAAATTCTTTATGCAAGCTGGGATTCCTCTTGATAAGCTATTTACTGAAAGATCCAAGACTCGAAGTTTTCTTAGAAAACAAAGATTCGAAGGTAGACTTCCCTGGAAGTAATTCAATCCAAGGCTTAAAATTGGTGTAAGCTTTCTCCAATCCACAGAGGTATTGGACCATAAAACTTATTTTCTCCTATATCCAAATTCAGGGAGGAAGGTAGTTGACCATTTAAACTATTATTTCTAAAAATCAAACCCTCTATATTAGCAAGGGCACCCATTGAAAAAGAAATCTTTCCTGACAATTTGTTATTGCTCATGTCAAGAAACCGTAATGAGTTTAGATTATTTCAACAATTAAGCAACTTACCTTCTAATTGATTGAAACATCCAAAAGTTCCAAACTTGCATTTTTGCCAAATACTAAATCTGAAAATTTATTATTGGAGAGATGCACTGCTGATGCTTGAACCTTCAAGTTGATTCCAAGGTAAATCTATTTCAGGGTTGTTGGTAAACTCAAGTTCCAAATTCGGAATCTTGCCATGGAGATTGTTATGTGAAATATTCATGAAAGTTATTTCTTGCAATTTTCCCCAAAACCAATGAGGGATTTGATGAAGATTCCCAACATTTGAAGTATCAAAATCATGTAAGTCATTTTGAGTCCAGAGCCAATCAGGAAATTTAGAATCTAGTTTGCAAGATTGTAGGTTCAAATATTGTAATTGAAAAGGAGGAACCCAGCTAACACTAATCTTGTTAGTCAATGAGCTGTTGAAAAGTAAAAAAAAAAAAAAGCACATGCAAAGAAGAAAAGAAAACGCGTACAATTTGAAAATTCGGTGCCTAACGTGTTTTGAAAATTGAGCGTTTCATTTGCCTATATAAAGGAAATAATGAAAGGCAAAATATATAGAACAACTGAAAATATTCAGAAAGCAAAAACAGAGAAAATAGTTTAGCTTCTGGGTACAATTGGGTTACGGGTTGTGAATGGTTGTGAGTCATTTTTTAGTGTTTTGTAAACACCGAGTATATTCCCTTTCTTTAGTAAAATATCTGCAGTAGTCCAGAGACGTAGGCATTATTGGCCAAACTCTGTTATCAATTTGTGTGTGCAATATTCCACATTTATTTTTCACTTCCACAAATTTGACGTTACAAGAAAGTTCAGCGTAATTTTCTCAACAACTGGTATCAGAGATGGTTCGAAATTCTGCAATTTTTGTGAGGTGCGGTTCATATGAATAGTAAAATTCTGCAATTTGCACCGTTCACACGAATAGTAAACTCGCAAGTACGGTTCAAGTGAATAGTGAATAGTGAATAGTGAAAAATTTGTCAGCATTACAAATTTGTTCACAGACGTATTCTAAACACAGTGGTATACAGAAATTATCAGAAACGATTCTGAGAAGAAGTCAGATTTGAGTGGGAGTGATGGCCGCAGATGAAGGAAAGGTGAAAATTGAAAAGTTCGATGGTACAGACTTTGGCTTTTGGAAGATGCAGATCGAGGATTATCTGTATCAGAAAAAGCTGTATCAACCTCTCACAGGAACAAAACCAGAGGGCATGAAAGAAGACGAATGGAATCTTCTCAATAGACAAGCCCTTGGAGTCATCCGATTGACGTTATCCCGTAATGTTGCTTTCAACATTGCAAAAGAAAAGACCACGGTGGATCTTATGAAGGCTCTTTCCGACATGTATGAAAAGTCGTCTGCTTCAAATAAAGTTTATTTGATGAAGCGGCTATTCAACCTTCGGATGACAGAAGGCGCATCAGTAGCGCACCACATAAATGAGCTCAATACAACCCTAACCCAATTGAGTTCAGTTGAGATTGAATTCGATGATCAAGTACGAGCATTGGCACTTTTGTCCTCTCTACCAGAAAGTTGGAAGACTACTGTCTCAGCTGTGAGTAGTTCGACGGGAGACACTAAGTTGAAATTCAATGACGTTCGTGATCTGATTCTCAATGAATAAATTCGATGAAGAGAGTCAGGAGAATCATCAACCTCTTCAGTATTGCATACAAAGTCAAGAGGAAGAAATTCAATCAGAGGAAATGGACGTGGTAAATCAAAGGACAGGAGGTCAAAATCCAGAAGTCATCATAGTTCCCACAAATCGAAGGCAATCGAGTGTTGGAATTGTAGGAAGTCCGGGCACTACAAGAATCAGTGCAAGAATGCACGAAAGAATCAGGAGGCGAAAGACGAGACAAATGTTGCTTCCACCTCTGAAGGAGATGATGCGTTGATATGTTCTTTAGAGAGCAAGGAAGAGTCTTGGGTGTTAGACTCTGGAGCATCTTTTCATGCCACTTCGCAGAGAGAATTTTTCAAGAACTATGTTCCCGGAAACCTTAGTAAAGTTTACCTTGGTAACGACCAATCATGTGAGATTATAGGTAAAGGTGTAGTGAAGGTTAAGTTGAACGAGTCTGTATGGGAATTGAAAAATGTCAAACATATTCCCGACCTGACAAAGAACTTAATCTCAGTAAGCCAGTTGGCCAGTGAAGGCTACACAACAGTCTTCCACGGTGATAACTGGAAGATTTCAAAGGGTGCAATGGTAATTGCTCGTGGCAAAAAGAGTGGTACTCTTTATAAGACAGCAGGAGCATGTCATCTAATTGCAGTTGCAGCAAATGAAAATCCCAATCTATGGCACCAGAGACTAGGCCATATGAGTGAGAAAGGGATGAAAATCATGCACTCAAATGGTAAGCTACCAGGTCTTCAGTCAGTAGAAATTGACATGTGTGAAGTCTGTATACTTGGAAAACAAAAACGAGTTAGCTTTCAGACAAGTGGAAGAACCCCAAAGAAGGAAAGACTCGAGCTTGTTCACTCTGATGTTTGGGGTCCAACATCTGTTCCATCCATTAGTGGGAAGCAATACTTTGTGACTTTTATCGATGATCACTCCAGAAAGGTATGGGTATACTTTCTGAAATATAAGTCTGAAGTATTTGAGGCTTTCAAGATGTGGAAAGCCATGGTTGAAAATGAAACAGGATTGAAGATTAAAAAGATTAGAACCGATAATGGTGGTGAATATGAAGACACCAGATTCAAGAAGTTTTGCTATGAGCACGGGATCAGAATGGAGAGGACCGTGCCAGGTACGCCTCAACACAATGGTATAGCTGAACGTATGAATCGAACGTTGACTGAAAGAGCTAGAAGCTTGTGTGTGCAGTCAGGCTTACCAAAGCAGTTCTGGGCAGAAGCAGTCAA